TTTTAACTTCTTGGGTTTTCCCCCCTCCTTTCTTGGGTCACTAGGTCCTAACCTATAAATGTTCATTGTTGTTCTGAGTTGCCAATAGCTGGAGGGAAATTGAGTCAAGAGGACATTAGTAATGACTTGAGTGGAAGTTTCCCTGATGTTACTTCTCTGGTACAGCTGCTATTCCATAGCTTGGTCTCATTAGCATCAGGGGCAATTTCAGGCTCCATAGGGGAATAACATTTAACCATTTCTTCACCTTCTCATCATTAATGAGTATGGGTAACACCTAGACCAAACTTTGCTTAGTTGAAGTTTACTAAGAAACCAAATGTCTTCCTAAGTGACCACCATTTTGCACTCCTACCAGCAGCAAATGAGAGTTCCCGTTGCTCCACATCCTTTCCATCATTTGGTGCTGTCAGTGCTCCAAATCTGGGCCATTCTCATAGTTGTGTAGCAGTGTCTCATCATTGTTTTAATTTGTATTTCCCTGATGATATTTAATGACTTATTTGTCATTAGACCTGACAACAGCAATAGACATATTCATCAAATGTATAGCTTTGATGAGGTTGATGTTGAGGTCTTTTGACTCTATTTTAATTAAATTGTTTATTTTCTTATTATTGAGGTTTTTAAGAGATCTTTGCATATTTTGTATAACAGTCCTTTATCAGATATGTGTTTTGCAAATAATTTTTTCCCAATTTGTGGGCTTTCTTCTCATTCTTTCAACTTTGTCTTTTGGAGAGCAGAATTAAAAACTGTTTAAAATTTTTTTCTAGGGCTTCCCTAGTGGTGCAAGGGATTAAGCACTTCACTATGAAGCAATCCGCAGCCTCTGAGTTCGATCCCCAGCCAGGCGGGGAGCAGGCCACATGGCGCAGCAGACCTCTCCTGTCTTGCCCGCTGCTCCCCTCAGCAGTGTACTTCAGTCAATCTGCCTGTTCTGTTCCCTACTCTGTCTCTTGTGAGTCCTCTCACCCCCACCCCCAGCATCTCTGGCTTGTGCCCCAGCTCTTGTATGCATAAATAAATAAAATCTTTAAAAAAAATAAAAAAATAAAAAAAAAATTTCTCTAGAATTTTAAATTTTAATGAGTTCTAGTTTGTCAATGATTTCTTTCATGGATGGCACTTTGGGTGGTTGTATCTTAAATGTCATCACAAAGGTCATCTGTGTTTTATTCTAGGAGTTTTATAGTTTTGTGTAGATTTGTTTTAAAATTCTTTTATAATTTCTTTTCTGAGTGTCACATGACACTAACAAGTATAATCTTAAACATACAAATGAATGGAATTTTATTTAACTTTTTAGTATTGAATTTGAATTTAATTCATGGTCAAAGAATGTAGTCTTATGATGCTAATTCTTCAGAATTTCTTGAGCCTTACTTTATGTCCTCGGATTTGGTCAGTATGTGGAAAACATTTCAGGTGTTCATCAGAAAACACATGCTTTTTAATTGGTGTAGACTTACATATGTTAGAAAAACAAAGTTTTATATTGTTATTAAAATCTTATAAATCTTTATTATAAGTGTGTCTGAAAAATCAGTAATTGAGAGAGGTGTGAGTAGACTTGTAATTTTCTCCCTGTAACACTTCAATAATCAGCAAATTATTATCTTTTTTTTAAGATTTTATTTATTTTTATGTAGAAGAACTGGGGTACAGGCCAGAGGTGTGGGGGGTGAGAGGATTCACCAGAGACAGAGTGGGGAGCAGAACACGCAGATCTACTGAAATACACCGCTGAGAGGAGCAGTGGGCAAGACAGGAGAGGTCTGCTGTACCATGTGGGTAGCTCCCTGGCCCACTGGGGATCGAACTAGTGCTGCAGTGGCTGCCCATAGCTTCATATTGCTGAGACTTAACCCCTTGCACCAGCAGGGAGTGGAGTAAATAATTTGCTACATCACATATTTTGAAGTTAATTAACTAGATACACAATTCAATTTTTTTAAAGGTTTATTTATCTTAATACAAGAGCTGGGGTACAGGCCAGAGGCACGGGAAGGTGAGAGAATTCACCAGAGACAGAGTGGGAAGCAGAACAGGCGGACGGACCGAAGGCACTGCTGAGGGGAGCAGTGGGCATGACAGGAGAGGTCTGCTGTGCCATATGGGACTCTCCCTGGCTGGCCGGGAATTGAACCCGCTCTGCAGGGACTGTGGACAGCTTCACAGTGCAGCACTGAACTTGCTGCACCACTGGGGAGGCCCCACAATTCAATTTTAATATCTTTTGGTGAAGTAGATATTTTAACATTATGTAGTTATACTCTGTGGCAGACATTGTTGAGGGTCCATCTAACTTGTCAGGATGTATCTCTACATAGAAGGCTGCTCCTGTGAATACATGTACCCCCGGGACCCTGATTTGGACACATGTACAGTGAAATGGCAGTTTTGGGAGTTAAGGGCTAGAAGAAGCCCAAGCTAATGATGGATGGGAATTTGGTACATCAGTATTCCAGCTTCCTTGACTCTTAGACCATTTAACACCTTTTCCCAGTGTTCACACAAGACCAAGCTCCATTTTCCCACAGCATGAGCTGGTTTGATAACACATCCTTTATTGTCTTTGATCTATTTCCTGTTGTACTTCCTTACTACCCTGCTGCTATTTCCTGAAATAAATTTTCTGCACTCAGTATCAAGACACCTTATTTATTTCTAATGATAAGGGTGGTGATCTATTTAATTGGGTTCCTTTTGAGGAGTCAAAGGACATACTAGTAATAACATTGCCAGGATAACATAAGTAAACCAACTGTTTCAGACAAATGGGGTATAGGATTATTTTACTAATTAGGCTTTTTGTCATAAAATTCACTTGTCTTATGCTAACAGTCTCCCCAGCTTCCTTTCACTTATTATTTGCCTGGTATATCTCTTTCAATTATTTTACTTTCAGCTCTTTCAAATCTTTGATTTGGTTATACTTCATTTAAATAGCGTATAGCTGGGGGCTTCCCCTGGTGGCGCAGGGGTTGAGTGCTGGGCTGCGAAGCTGAGCACAGCCTCAGCAGCACCGGTTGGATCCCCGGAGGCCAGGCGAGGGTCCCACATGGCGGGACAGACCTCTCCTGCCGCCCGCTGCTCCCCTCAACAGTGTCCTTTGTCTGTCTGCCTGTTCTGCTCCCTGCTCTAGTTCTGGTGAATTCTCTCACCCTCCCGCGCTTCTGACTGTACCCAGTGCTTGTATGAATAAATAAATAAATCTTTAAAAAAATAAATAAAAATTCTTATTCCTAGGTGATGATATGACACATTTAAAAAAATAAATAGCATATAGCTGAATTTAAAAAATACATTCCTACACATTGTATTTTAGCAGATGAATTTGGGACAGTCATAATTTATTCTTGTATTTACTCTCTTATTTTTGGCTTTCCATTGTCTTACTTTTTTCTATCCTTCTTTCTTGTTTTTTTTTCCCCTTAATAGATTGAATGTGTGTTTGTTTCATTATATTATTTCTCCCTTTATTGGTTTGAAGCTTATACAGATTCCCTCACTCTGTTCTTTAAGATATTTAGCTGAAGTCCCACATATCAGTCACTTTTCACCTATTGCAATCTGATTTTAACCCCTCTACACCAATGAAACTACTTATACCAAGTTGATTAGTGGTCTCCTTGTTGTCAAATTTAATGCACATTTTTGGGGCCTCCCTGGTAGTGTAAGGGGTTAAGTCTCAGCTCTATGAAGCTATACACAGCCACTGCAGCAGGGGTTCGATTCCCGGCCAGGCAGCTAACCCACATGGCACAGCAGACCTCTCCTGACTCATCTGTTGCTCCCCTCAGCAGTGTATTTCAGTCAATTCACCTGTTCTAGTCTCTACTCTGTCTCTGGTAAATCCTCTCACTCACCCTGATTCCCCCCCCCCACCTCTGACCTACACCCCAGCTCTTGTATGCAGAAATAAATAAATCTTTAAAAAAATTTAACATACATTTTAAATTCCTTTTCATATGTGACACCCCCTGCAATCTGGATGTTTCCTCTTTTTAAAACCATATTCCTTTGATTGTATGATACCATTTTCTTCTATATTTGCTCCTCCCCCACTGTTTATGTTTGTGTTAGCCTCCTTGGTGAGGCCCTTTTACCCTATCTTCACACTGATTTCTTCAGCCTTCTTCCCTTTTCACTCTATACACCTCTTAGAATAATCTTACCCACTGCCATGGGCTCAGTGCCCTGAATTCCCCATTGTGTCTTATTATTTCCAAAGTTTTATGCATGCTGCTCCCTCTACTTGGAACATGTGTTCCTTCTTCCTGCCCTCAGCCCCATCTGATCAACTAACTCATCTTTCTAAGACAAAGTTGAGACCTGTTCTCCAAGTTTCCTTTGCTGACAACCCCTAATCTGGGCCTACCTTCCTGTAAGCTTTCAGAGCATTCTGTTTCCACCTCTGTCATTACATTTTCCATGCTATGTCATAATAATCTGGCTTACCTGATTCATCTGTGAGACTGACTTCTGGTCATGGCATAATTATAATTTCCCTAGTGTTGAGCACAGGCCCTGGTCTGTGGTACATTAACAAATGTTTGCTGAATGAATGAAAGAACATGTGAACATGTGAATGGATGAATGAGTGAATGATGATTTTGCAGTGGTAAATTTGGGGTTTGCAAAGAGGGAGAAAAATGGTGAAGAAAGATGGGAAAAAAGAGAAAAGAGACATGGCTAGTGCTTTTAAACTGTTTTGTTCTCCTTGTTCATGTGAAAAAAAAGCTGTCATTTCATTTCATCAAAAGTTTATTGAGCATCCAGTATGTGCCAGGCACTCTGCTAGATGCTGGTAATACAAAGATGAAGATCAAAACAAAACAAAACAAAAACATATCCCACTTCCTTATTTACCCCCCATTTAAGGCAGATTTGGCTTGAGCCTGGGAAGCCGGCCCCTCAGGGATTCAGCACCAGCATATGGCGTGTGGCATGTTCTCCTCACCTAATCTTCACCCTGCCTCTCAAGGCTGACCAGCATGTACCCCTTCTCCAAGCCCTGCATCTCCCACCTGCCTGGGCATTATCTCATTAAGGATGAGGCACTTGGGGGGTTAGGGGACCACTTTTGGCTAACCTAAGGGGAGCTGCAAAGGCACACCTGCTTAGGGGAACCTGGAGAAATGCATAGATGCAGGGACCTGGGAGGGGCATGCTGTCTGGGTTAGGGCGGAGGGTGGGTTGGGAGCAGGGGCCTTGGGAATTGCTCTGTGGGATGGTGTCAGAACTTAGGAGGTGGGGAGAGGACAGGCATACAACGTCCCTCTAGAGGCATGAGGGAGGAGAGGCCAGAACACACAGAGGGCCTCCTCTTTCAGTTGTCTGATTGCCCTCTCTCCTCACACAGTAGGTTATTGTTTCTCCTGCTAACTGCTCAGGAGGCAGTGGGATGGGCATGGCCTGGAGACACAGCAGCCCAGCCTCTCTGCATTTGCTGTTTGTGTGATTAGAGAGCTTGTCCTTTCCCCTCTCTTAGGATCCAAGCATCTGGGAGCATGGCAGGTTGGGGGTACTGAGGACATGCTGGGGAGTAATAAGCCTAACTCACCCCCTACCCCTAATCCCCATTTCTCTGGAGAGTGGAACCTTATGCTCTTACATTTGAAGGAAGCTCAACAACCTTTCCTGGGGATAATGATTGTTTGAAAGGCTTGTTTTGTAAGGAAGTCAGGGAGAAGGTATAGGGGTGAGGAGTTACAAACCACTTCTTCACTAGCTGTAGCTTTCTGGGCCAGAGGAGGGAGTGGAATCCCCTTCTCCACAGGAATAGGGATGGGAGGAATGCCTGGCATGCTACTGAGGAAGGCTTTGGGAGGAGGCCAGGCTGGGAGGCTTGAGTTCTCTGCCCTAGCTAAGTGCCCACCCCTCACCCCCTACTCAGCTGGCAAAGGAATGTATTTGAGTTTCCCCCTCACCAACTGAAAGGTAGACAGTATCAGGTGTGCAGAGAAGGGGACTTCCAGGCACTGCCTGCCCAAGGATTCCTGGTGATGGGAGTAGCCCCTGTGCATGGAGTAACGGGCATCTGACTTCCCCTCAGTTTAGGGCAGTTGTGCGTTTTTGGGTACGTGACCTCTCTAACAAGGGCCTGCCAGAAAAGTGCCCCAGGAACCGGTTAGGAGGCAAGAGAGGTGCGTGAGAAGCATGAGAGCTCCCTGGAAAGGGCAGAGGATAGTCTCAGGAATTAGGTTATTGCTGTTAGTTTTCTTACCACCCTTGGGGGATTGGGCTGGAAATGTAATCATCTATATGGTCCTAAGAGGGCACACCCCATACCCACTGAGAACACAGCCAGTGAACCAAGAGCAAACACCACCGGGCTTCACCACCAGATGGGCTCCCTGCCGCCCCGCTGCGTGCCCCCAACCCCCAAGTGCTCAAGCTCACCCTTGCACACTCGCCAGACCCCCGCTTCCCCGCCGGGGCCACCCCTCGCCGCGGGCCGGCGGTCTGGCTTCCAGGCCCTCCCCGGGCCCAGGGCGCAGAGCGCGGGTGCCTCCCGGGGGTCCCGGGGCCGCTCAGGCGCTGATCTCCACCCTGCCCGTCTCGTCTTGCTCGCGGATCAGGTGCACGCCCGCAGTCCGCAGTGTGCGCGAGGCGCTCCGCGAGCGGTCGGGCGAGCTCGGGGCCCGGGGCGGCGACGTGTGCGTCCGGCCGGTGGCGGGGGAGCGCGCGGGCGAGCGCGGGTAGCGGCGGGCCGAGCGGATGGGCAGGCCCGGCGAGCGGCCGGGGACGGTCGGCGACACGGAGTAAGCGGGAGGGCCAGGCTCTGTCGCGGTGCGAGGCTCCGGGGCGGCGTTGTCCTCGAGCTCGGGGGAGTCCTGCAAAGTCGGGTACCAGCGGAGAGCCCGCTCAGTCTGGAGTGCGCTGGGAAAACCCAGGCGAAGGAGACACCGTCACCTCCACATTCCCAATTCCCAGAAGGCTGCATAGTTCTAGACCTGGTTTTTCTTGCAAGACAAAACACATAGCCCCGTGCCGAGCACGAGAGGGGTGCTCAGTCCATGCTGACATGCATTAGCCGGAGTGCAGAGGCACCCCCTTTCTCCTCTCTCCTCCTCTCTTGGACAGCCTGGGATAAATTGGCTGTGGAATAGGGGTGAAATCACTGGGTTGGTGTTCAAAGACCTGATTGGAAGACTGGATCTGCTATTTATTTATTTGTTGATCCTGGGAAGGACCTTAAGTCTCTGTAAACCTTATTTTTCTAATTTCTTTTTAGAAATTCTTTTTTAAAAAAAGATTTATTTATTTATTTATGCATACAAGAGCTGGGGGACAGGCCAGAGAGGCGGGGAGTGAGAGGATTCACCAGAGATAGAGTGGGGGAAACAGAACAGGCAGATTGACTGAAATACACTGCTGAGGGAAGCAGCAGGTGAGACAGGAGAGGTCTGCTGCACCATGTGGGTAGCTCCCTGGCTGGCCTGGGATTGAACTCGCGCTGCAGAGGCTGCGGATTGCGTCATAGTGCGGTGCTTAACCCCCTGCGCCACCAGGGAGCTCCTTATTTTTCTAATTTCTAAAGTACGAATGTCACAAATACTTCTCAGGGTTAGTCTAAGTACTCTAAGGGATATCCCCACTCTAAGGGTATAGCAGGTGGTAGGGTCCATTGAGTGTTGGGGGTGGAAGTGCCCAGCTCAGAGTCACTCACCTTGTCCTTCAGGATATAGAGTGCCATGGGGTTCTTGCGCTCCTGCTCTCCACTTCTGGGTAGGGTGTCTGCTGCACAGGGCAAAGAATGGGGTGGCTGGCCCAGGTACAGATTCCTTTCTACCAGCCAGTACCTACACTCTTTGCTCCCCAAGTGGCCAGTCGAGGCCCCACCACAACCTCCACCAAAGGATCCGGAATACCTGGGGTCCTACCTTGGCCGCACCTCTCCCTGCTCTGCAGTCTTCGTGCAGTTGGTGGAGGAAGGGGCCCCGCAGAGCTGGTTTTCTTGTCGCCCAGTTCTGCCTTTTCCCAGCAGCCCACTGATCTGAGTGGCGATGGGAAGGGTGAGTGGGCGGCTGGGAGCTCACCTTCTGGTTTCAGGTGGTCATCATTCTGATCCATATATTCCAGGGAGTTTTGCTTCTCCAGCTTCCTCTTCTTCCTGCATATCAACCCAGCATCCATGAACAGAGTTATGGAGCGTGAGCAGAGGGAGGTCAGGGGATGGGCACAGGGGGACCTGATGGCAGTAAGAGGCCTTGTCATAGGAAGATGAACTCCAAGAGATGGAGGTGGGAGGGTGTCCCAGAGCTTTGGAATGAGTCACATCTAGGTTCTTGACCTGAGTGTCTCTAGCACCATAATTTAACCAATCTGAGTCTTGGTGTCACTGTCTGTAAATTGCCGATTACAATTCGAAAGGTAGCATGCTAACCACAGCCACAGTGCTGGGCCCCAGAAGGTGCCCTGCCAGTGAAACAATTATTAGTGGTACTGGGGTCATCAGGGGTTGTGTGCGCAGGATGTGGTTCCATACACAACACACACAATGGTGAGACAGATGTCCTGGGAAGAGGCGCAGGGCCCTGGGAGGAAAGGCATTTGGAGAGATTAAGAAAAGAACTTTGGGTCGGAATGGATTGAAGATGTAGGATGCCCAGGGAATGAACTTGGAGCACTACCTAGATTTTTTGGAGGGTTTCCAGCAGGCACAGACTGTCACCAAGGTCACAAGGAGGAAGATACCTCCTGTGGACAAGATGATGTAGAGGGAGCTTCTTCCTAGAAAGAGGGGGAGAGGCAGAGAGATGGGAGAGACTTTGGAGGGGGCCACAGGTGTGGTGAGAAAAGCTTTCTGCAGTGGAAGGAAGACAAAAGGAGTCCCAGCCACCAGGGCTGTGGAATTTCAGAGCTTGGCCATTCTCTTTGCCCCCACCCCCAACCCTGCATGGGCACTCTGTCTGGAATGTCCTTAGTTCCTTATGGACACTTGCCTCTCAGTGTTTCGAGTCCCAGGGAGGGCAGTCAGGGAGACTCACTGTACACGGTGATCTTGATGGGCAGGCTGCGGCCCTGGCTGATGGGGTTCTCCACCACACAGCTATACAGGTCATCGTCGTCCATGAGCACGCGGGTGATGGTGAGCACCTTTTGGTCAGGGGACAGGAGCATCCTCGAGTCATTGAGGAGGGGCTTGCCATCCTTTAGCCAGGTGTAGCTGGGCTTGGTGCCGTTCTCATGGGAGCAGTTCAGGGTGAAGGCCTCGCTGAGCTCCAGCACCGTGGTCGAAGCCACTAACACCTGCGGCCTTGAGATGGGCACTGAGCCCCAGGAGTGCAGGAGCATGTGAGTCATGGACCAAAACACTTCTCTTTTCCCTTCCCCTTCTCAAATCCCTGCCTTCCAACATCCCACCACTCAATTTGTCATCTGGGAAGACCCTTCAGGGATCATCAGTCCAGTCCTTCATCCCCACCCTCTCCATCCATCCACCCATTTATCCTCTCGTTTATTTACCAACTATTTATTGAGCACCTACTAAATGGGGGAGAGGAGATAATGCTGTATAAGACAGCCATGGTTCCTGCTCTCATGGACCTTCCCTTCTCTTTTTCCTAAGTACCTTCCCAAGATGTCTTAAGTTGACCCAGCCCGAAGCATATTTTTGTTGGGCTAAGCCTAGTTTCAATTGTCTTCTGGGCTTAAAGGTTGGTTCTAGCACTTACTAGCTATGTGACTTTGGGCAAATTAGCCACTTTGTATCTCAATTTCCTCATCTGCTAGATGGGTCTACTTCTCTACACCCAGAGAAGTATAAGCATTAAATGATTCAACACAAGCAAAGAATACTTATTTTCTGATACAAGGTAAGCTCTCTGTCCACGATAGCTGTGCCAATCTTCTGTGCCAACTTCTAACGCCTAATTGGCTCACTCTCAGCTCCCCAGCCTTTGTGTTGGATTCCCCTTTACCCCTGAGTGTAGCTATGGGCAGATCCTGCCTGGATTCCAGTCCCCATGCCATGTCCTTTCCCTCCAGAGTGCTTTACCATCTACAGTGAGGTTGATGGTTTTCTCTCCGGTGAAGGTGTCATCAGTGATGGAGATCTCAACCTCATAGGTACCCTCATCAGCCAGCTGCAGGTCGCTGAGAAGCAGGGAGCCATTTTCGAAGAGGCGGATGCGGTCTCGATAGTCAGGCCGCAGGGTGCCAATGACTTCCGTGCCGATGGACTGCACCACAGTCACCGGTTTGTCCCGCTTCAGCTGCCATTTCACCACAGGCTTGTCACTGCTGGTGCTGCTGTACTGCACGGAGAGCAGGGCTGACTTCCCCACTGTGCCACGGATCAGGCGCACTGGGCTGGTGATGTTCACTGCCTCCAGGGGCTCTGTGGACAGAGGCCCATGGGGAGAAGGCAGCATCAGGCCCTTGGCTCCTGACCCCACTGTGAGCCCTCTGACCCTTCCATGCCTCACCTTCTGGGTCTTTCCTTTCCTGTCCATCCTGGATTCTTACCCTGTGGTGCCATCTTCTCCTCCACTATAGCTCTGTGCCCCTCTGCGCCTTCATCACAAGGATTGTTACCTTCAATACTTCTTCTATTTGTCCCTCTACCTCTGACAGTTTTACCCATTGCCTTCCTCTTGAAGAAGATTCCAGCAATCCACACCCTGTGTGCTCCATTATTAGAAATATTTATTGAGCAGAGTCCGAATGTCCAGCTCTCTTCTACATCCTTGTGTTGCATCAATGAGCAAAACAGACAAACATCCTTTGGCAAGCAGTGTATGGGTCATTAGAACTCAGGGTGAATCTGTCACATGTTCT